CCCAGTGCTGGAAGAAACCATGGCCTTGACAGTTTTTCCATGGGATCCTCACCTGCTTCTTTCTTTTTCTCCTCTACAGATGCCACAAGCACTACCATTGTTCCCACACCACCAGTGACTTCTCCAGGTTCGTGTTGTGTTTTTCATCTATATAATGCATCACTTTTGAGTCGTATTATTTGCAGGTTTATAGGTTGGAGTGGCATCATTTGCATATTGTAATGGTTTTGGGAAAATGCACTCTGGGTACTAACTCATTAAATCCTACATGCATGTCTGCTATATCTCTCTGATTGTTACTGGGGATGGAATTCAGACTATGTTGATTTGTGGGGGAAACCTTTGCCTTCTTCAGTAGGGTTGGTTTTTTTTTTTGTGATTTGGGCCAGCACCACATGTTTTCTTTCTTTTATATATTTATGTTTTAAGCCTATCAAATGCAAAATAGAATGTGAGAGTCAGAGTTCTCTGAAGAGATCATCACACTTGTAGCCTGAGTAAGAAGAACCCGACTCTTCAGTACTCTCTCTGGAGATTTAATCTCTTGGAGCTGTGGCTGGATTAATAAAATATATCTTCATTTGATTAGAAATATATCTGGGTGTATCACATTTATTTCTTATTTTCTTCTCTTTTTTTTCTTTTTTATTTCCCCAGCTAAAAAATATATTTGTGGTGGATTACTTTTTAATCTTTCTGGAACGCTTCAGAGTCCTTATTATCCTCTGTATTATCCAGATAATGCAGATTGCTTGTGGCAAATACAAGTAGAGAATAATTTCCGCATTGTGCTCACATTTAGAAATATTCAGTAAGTAAACCACTTCCTGCTTGGGTAATAAATGGGTCTCAAATCTCAAGTGCAACCACAGTTAGAATCATAGAGTAATTAGGGTTGGGAAGGACTTTAAGATCATCTAGTTCCAACCCAAGTTCCCTGGCACGTATCCCATGATTATAAGTGTATTATAAATATTGCATGGCAATTGTGTGAGTGAAGTATTTCAGTTCATTGTTCGTCAGCGCTTAAAAACTGACGTTTTCAAACGCATTTTATTATACATTCATCTTTCTTCCTCAGGTTGCACGGTGGATGCCAGAATGACTATATTGAGATTTATGATGGGCCACCCAATACTTCTCCACTGCTTGGAAGAATTTGTTCTAAATATGAGCTTGTGTACACATCATCGTCAAACTTCATGGCTGTCAGATTTCACAGTGACTCCAGCCATTCCGGTAGAGGGTTTCATGCTGAATATCAGTCCATTCCAACAGATCATAACACCAGTAAGTTTCCAATCTCTTTGTAATGTTTTCTTTGCTTAGAAGCTTTTATACCCTGATTTTATTTATTAAATAAGTATTAATATTGTTGCACATAGATGACATTCCTACTTGAATTTTGTAATGATCATCATCAGAGAGTAATTTTTTTCATTTAAAAAACATTTTTAAGCATCAGATTAATTTCCTTGAGATGTTTTCTACAATGGCCAGTCTAAAATTATATTTCTTCTTATCACAACTTTACTCATATATATTTTTTCCCTACCTTTGTGGGCAGATTTTCATAGAATCATAGAAATGTTGCTTAGAAAGGACCTTTGGAGGCTTCCTAGTCCAACTATTCAAAGCAGAGCTGCTGCCACCACCAGGTCAGATCCATTGTGAAGTCTAACTGAGGCTCTAGAAACATTCAGAGGATGAAATCTTCAAAGCCACTTTTCTAGGTGACCTCTTCCAGTACTCTCCTGCAGTCCCAGCAGGAAAGTTTATCTAATGTGTGATCACAACATCCCCAGGCAAAAACAGTGCCCATCAAGTTTGGCTCTGTTGTCTTTATATCTGCCTTTCAAGAGGCTGTGTGTTGCCAGTAGGTCCCTGTCAACAGATATCTCTTGCTACTAACGGCCAGAGTCTCCCCCTCATCATTGTTTTTGATGCCATGGACTCAGTGAACTGCCTTGATGATCTTAAGGTCCTTTCCAACTGTAACTACTCTATGATTCTATGATCCCCCTACTTAAGCAGTGCTTCTGCAAGCCATTGCATAAGTTTAGCTCTACACCTTCCATGATAGCTTTTGACTTCTTGTTCAGGAAAAACTCCCACTTTTTAATGTTTTTATGTATACAGGTGATACAGGCTCAATCAAGGTCTCAGAAAAAGCCTATTGTAAGCTACATATTTTGGCCAGGACAGTAACTGACGGTCAGCTGAAGTTTGTCAGAGACTACTGCTTATTCATATCTAAGTCTAGAGCATAAAAATAAGTGGTTTGGCTTATGAATTCTCTCCCCTAAATGGTAGGCCACTGTATTTGTTGAAGCTGGAACAGGCACTGTAATAGGCTGCCCAGGGCAGTGGTGGAATCACCATCCCTGGAAGTGTTCAAAAACTGTGTAGACAAGGTCGTAAGTAACATGGTTTAGTGGTGGCAATCCTGGGGTAATGATTGGACTAGACCATCATAAAGGTCTTTTCCAACCAACTGATTCTATGACTCTGTGTAAACATTGTCGAGCACCTTAAATAACTAGTAATTCATATTTTCTTCCCTAGCTCTTGTATGCTTGCCAACATACATGCGTGCAGTAGTGGACAGACGTTATGTCCAGTCACAGGGCTACTCAGTGTGGAACATCAGCTTGTCTGACCCTTACTGTAGACCAACAATTACTTCAACTAAGGTTATATTCAACATTCCATACAATGGCTGTGGTACACGTAGACAGGTAAGTGTCAACATATTTTGGAGAGTTCTCCAGTTTTGGCCATGGAAATTTTATAGACATTTGGAAAACTGTAATGAATTGCAAATAGTGTTGTAGCCCACAGGCATTCAAAACACAGAAAAGAAACGTGTGCTTCTGGAGGCTAAGGTTTGTTAAACATTCCTACTTATCCTTCCCAGTGTTTAGGCAATCCCTGTATCTATTTCAGAGTAATGTTCTAGAGAACTAAGTATAGGAGAGAGTTAAGTGAACAAACCCACCCATGTTGTTTGAGGTTTCTGAGTATGACATGTTCCCTCTGACTAGTATTAGGACCTGGCATATGCAGAACTTCACAGTACACACTGTGAACATGACTACATGCAATGATTTTGTACTCATTTAATGTGTCAAACAGGGCAACAATGAAACAATCACCTACTCCAATGTGATAAGAGTGCCTGCTTTTGGTTACATCATCAAGAGGCAAAGGGACCTTTATTTGAACGTCAACTGCAAAATGCTCCAGAACACCTGGGTACAAGCAATGTACATTGCCAATGACATCATTAATGTCAATGAAAGTCTGTCCCAGTACGGCAGATACAGCGTGAACCTGACATTCTACAATTCCTCATCTTTCCTGTGGCCAGTGCATGACTTCCCATACTATGTTGATCTGAATCAGAATTTGTTCCTTCAAGCTTCCCTTCACAGCTCTGACTCAAATCTGGCAGTGTTTGTGGACACATGCGTGGCATCGCCTGATCCTAACAACTTTAGAACACTGACCTATGAATTGATCAGAAGTGGGTAAGAACTTTCTAGAATGACTTAAGAAGTATTTGCAGGTATACTTCTGAAAGAGCTTCATTTATGAAAGAGGTGATTGAGGGCCAGTGTATGTTGGTTGCAATTCTCAGTACAAACATACTTCTAAGAAGGACTTTTTGGGAAAGCCTGAAGAAAATATAATATGACAAAGGAATGCCATTCAGAAGTTGCAGTCGAGCACTAAGCACACGCAAGGAGGCAGCATAGAAACAGAGGTCTGAATTTGTTTCTGAAATTGATGCGTGAAGTGTTGGGATGTCAATGGTTCTATGTTTCCATACACAAGAATTAGAATTTCACAGCATCATAATTAGAATACAAAATAGTCTGTTCAAAAAGAAGAGAAATTCCTTAGCCTTCTTTTGCTACTCTAGAAACTTAAATGATTTTGCTTAGTTTGTGCCTTTTGATTTGAAATGGAAAAGTTGTGGACTCTTGTAAAGGATACAAAACTGACATGGAGCTAGAAGCATAAAAGTGTGGCTCTCAGTGCCCCACTTTGTTCTAGGAATGAAAAGCTCATGGTAGTGTATTTCGCTTCTGTGCTTGGTGGGATTGTAATTTCTCTGTCTTCTGGGAGGGTGTTCACATCAGTAACCTTAGCAGTGTGGTAACCTACTACTAAGCTGTAAATCAGGCTTGTGACAGGTTAATGAACACAGTACTTCCTGCCTGCTGGGTGAATGTCCTCCCTTTAACTCCCTTTAAACCTTTTAGGAAGGTTTGTCTTCTTGTTGAGTTTTCCTTTTATTTTAACTATGAAAACACATACCAGTAAGCAGGACACAGAAGGACAGCCTACCTTTGTTAGCAGGACACTCACCAGGGAGATGGAGCAAATAGAGTCTAATAGTATTCCAGATAATTTTATTCATGTGACATGGAACTGTGCCAAAAGCAAATGTACTTCATATAATCCTAGAATGGTTTGTGTTGGAAGGGACCTTAAAGATCATCCAATTTCAACCGCCCTGCCACAGGCAGGGACACCCTCCCCCCGAGGGTGTCCAACCTGGCCTTGAACACTAAATTCAATAACATCCATCTATAAATATCAGATGTGTTGGGATATCACCGAACTATAAAAGAAATAAAGAAGGACTTAAAACCCTTGGTGTATTTATTAGGGAAATAAGCATGAATATAATTAAAGACAACTTTGAAATATTCTGATGTAACAATAGTGGGTGAATTATTGTGATCTTTTAAAATCAAACCAGCATGACCAGGATCTATGTTAGGTAACTTCCAAGGCTAGAAATTGCCAGGAAGTGAAACTCATTGGCAGGAAAGTTGATCTAGCAGCTTTGTGAAACACCTGGAGACCCCTGTGAGGTGTCCAGATTCCTCAAGCAAGGTACTCTACAAACACTAAAGGACTGAAAAGCATGTTTATTTCCCAAAATAAAATGTGTATTAGAATTACATTTGTCCTTCTAGAATAGAAAGGGGCCCTTTCTCTTTCTGCAACAAGCTGCAGAGGCCTCCTTGCAGTAAATGGGTAATCCTGTTTGGAAGTGCAACCCAGGTCCTCACCTGAAACACAGAAACCAGCAGAACCACTAGTTATTTTTCATCTATTCTTGTTTACGCAAACTATGTTGAGCTATGGAACCTCTGTGTTGCATTCATTATTGTGGTAGAAATCACTGACACTCTTACTTATTTTTGTGTCTCAGTTGCTCTTCCTACTAAAAACACACTTTTTCTCTTTATCCTTTTGAGTTCTCTTACACTTTTACCTTGTTTTTATATTTAAACTCAAAACATCCTGCACGGAGATAGTGTAATAGTGTTTCTATTCACAATAGCTAATCTGTTAATTTTATGTCTTCCCAGGTGTGTCAAGGATCCTACCTACTCTTCTTACTATTCACCAAACAGCAATGTTGCTCGGTTTGCCTTTAATGCTTTTTCATTTGTTAATCAACACCAGTCAGTTTACCTGCAGTGTGAGCTGGTGGTGTGCAGGACCTATGACTACTCTTCTCGCTGCTATCAAGGCTGTGTTAGTAGGTTCAAGAGGGATGCAGGTTCTTCCCAGAAAAAAATGAGTGTTGTTGTTGGACCTGTCCAGCTTCGGGAAGCCCATGCTGAGAACAGGAATGCTGGTAAGTTTAAATAACTTTAATAACAAAAGACTGTGTATTACTGTATGTTTGCGTGTCAGACATGAAATCCAGCTCTCAAATATGCCTTTGCTGGTTTATTCACAACTCTGCTATAATTCTTCTGTGGCATTTTTTATTACTTGTTAAATAAAATTGTTTTATAAAGTTTACAATTATTTTCTTTCTATCACAGTTTTGATCCATTATTTGTTCTGCACATGTCAAATGGCAATTTATTTAGTTCTATGCTGACTGCCATAATCTGAGGGGTGTGTTGAGTATATAGACCATCAGTGGCCTGAGCCTACCCATGGTAGTGAACTTGACAGTGTTGGGTTAACGGTTGGACTCAATGAACTTGAAAGTCCTTTCCAACCTAAAAGATTCTATGATTGTATGATTCTATAAGAGGGATGAGATGTAACTTGTCTCCCTGCAGAATTTATGTTTCTTTTTCAAAGCTGTCTGTGCCTGACTGGCATGTCTCGTTTGCTGGCAACCAATCTGTATGTCCCCTTGGAATTCTTGTTTCCCCGTGTCCTGTAGCTACCATTTCCACTATCAGAAAACAGCATCTTATGGTCTTAGAGTGTAATCATTACAAACTTAGTTGCTTTTTAACTTTTCGCCATAATCCTTACTTGTTTGGCATAGCCACAGAAACAATGTACAATAAACAAATTTGGTTTCTGGTAATCTGGTAAGATGCAGATTGCAGCATTTTGATTCAAGCTCTCTTTGCCTAATTACCTTTGAGTTTAACTAGCTCAGGAAAACAAGTGTGAACCTCTCTCTTTCTTTTTTATTCACAGAGCTGGCCTCTGACTTTGAGGTGAAAGGGGAGTCTCAGGACTCAGTGCCTGCTGCCAGCTCCCACGTTCCTCTGGCTGTGACCATTGTGGTGCTGGTTGCTGCTGTTCTCACAGTGGGAGGATTTCTCTTGAAGCGTAGGCTGCAGGAACCCATCCCGTACCAGATAATGTGACAGGCACCCCAAGACCTTCCAAGGTGGAAGAATATTATCACCAGCCATCAGCTTCACTGTTTGGTTTTACACTCTGTGTAGAGGGTAGCTCTCACTTGACTATTCCATTAAGACCTCGTTTGAAGAATCTGTATCAAGAGAACACCAAGCGTTACCATGAACTGAACCTATAAGGGAGCCTGGCTTTAAAATCCTCAAGTCCAAATACATTTAAGGTCTTAAGACAGGTTGATTCTTTCATTCCAGCATCCAAATAAGCTCCCATTTTCAACACTGGACATTTCAGAGCATCTCAGTTGAGCTCCTGGTTGAGTGTCTGTCTGAGAAGATTGATTTAAGTGACTTGAGAATGAAGAACTGACTTATTTTGCCATTGCTTATATGCAGATAAACCACCTGTGTAGCACCATAAGATACTCTGGAAAGTAGTTTGAGACAAAAGTTTCTTTGCAGTAAAAATACCTTAATAATGAGCCATCCTCCTGTGCAGCACTGGTTATCTGGGGGGTACGGTTCTTCACAATTACATATTTCTCTGGGAAATGTAGGCCATTTATAATATTTTGTATAGATGACAAATATAATCAGACCTGTTATGTAAACGTGTAATTAAGAAAAAGCAGGAAAGAAAGGACATGGAGCTGCAGGAGCAAGTCCAGAGGAGGCCACAAGGATGATCAGGGGCTAGAGCAGCTCCCGTATGGAGACAGGCTGAGAAAGTTGGGGCTGTTCAGCCTGGAGAAGAGAAGCTGCATGGAGACCTCAGAGCAGCTTCCAGTGTCTGAAGGGGGCTACAAGGATGCTGGAGAGGGAGCTTCATCAGGGACTGTAGTGATAAGACAAGGGGTGATGGGTTCAGACTAAAACAGGGGAAGTTCAGGTTAGATATAAGGAAGTTCTTTACTGCGAGGGTGCTGAGGCACTGGAAGGGCTTGCCCAGAGAAACGGTAAATGCTCCGTCCCTGGCAGTGTTCAAGGCCAGGTTGGACAGAGCCTTGGGTGACATGGTCTAGTGTGAGGTGTTCCTGCCCATGGCAGGGGATTGGAACTGGATGATATTAAGGTCCTTTCCAAACCAAACCAGTCTCTGATTCTACGATCTTTTGAGCAATACTCTTTTGGGTACTTGCAAACATGCCACCTACGTGTCTGTGTTAGGGGAGAAGCCGCAGGCTGAGCATTCACACACTATTCAAGGAGTTGCACACACACCACCCAACTGCTGGGACCATACTTCCTTCACAGCAGGAAGCTCCAGTGAGCTGATGGGTGCCTTTTCCAGCTCCTGGCTCACACACATGCTCACTTTCTTCCTTCCAGTTCAACTCTAGGTTTCCCATGGCAGAATCTCACATCTGATCCCAGGAAGAAATAATTTAGTAATTGAGTGGTACAGCAAAAAGGGCAGCTCCAGCTGGGTGCCTCCAGAGAGAAACCCCAAACAAAAAAAAACATAGAATTAACCAGATTGGAAAAGACCTTTAATATCATCAAGTCCAACTGTTACTCAAGGAATGACA